TTGAGTACAGCCGGTAAAGGAGAAAATCGAAAGCCAACATAGTTAAAGCTGATCATTAAACGGGCGGTAGTTATAGTAAAATTATTTATAAAACCTGCATATAATCGGCGGAGTGTTTGACAAATAACAATATTGACTTTTTATACGAACATTATCCACATCGACTGCAGATTAGACCGCAACCATTTAAATAATATCGTTACTGCTAGCAAACACAATGCTAGTTAAAGGTAAACCTTCTTCATTTAGATAATTACTGTTGACTCTTTGTTTAGGTACACCCAATTTATAGACAAATATCTCTCTTTTGTTAACGATATAAATAACAACGAAAGGTGTTTGCTGAAAGCTACAACGCAAACGCTGCGCCAGGTTTAATTAAAACCGAGTCCGCGCCGTCCATTTTCTTCTTTGTTACCTGCGCAAACATCGTTCCGTTAAATAACTATCAATTCGAATAATGAAATTATTATTTTTTTTGTGCGGACAATTTAGCTAAATGCGAATACAACGGAAATGTGCTTTTTATCGTTGCATATCGTATAGGAAGTGGGAAATGGTCTCTCGCTGTTATCGCTTAAACCTTACGTAATATCTACAAAACTAAATATTAATAATTTACTATACCTACCTACTGTTCGCGCCATTCATAAGTTGATTAAGTGACGTCAAGATAGTTGTATTCATTTACTAATGTGATATTCCAAAACTACATTGCAAATTAGTACTGTGCTAGTGGTCTACTCTCCGATTAGTTAAGAATAGGCGTTTAGTATCCATATAGGGATGACGTTCAAAATAAGTAGGTACATCGTATCTAATTCATCTCTTTACATATTTAGGCATAATTCCATTTTTCACTTGCACTGCATCTCCAATTACTAAATTCGTTTTTCTAACCCTTTCGGATTCCTAATTTTTTGTTACTTTCTAGCAATAAAAATAAATATTCACAATAACCTTAACTTCCACTACAAAAAAATTCTAATTTTTCGTTAATGAAAGGTAATTTTTCATATTTTTCTTAATTTGCTTTACCAAACGTATACCCAACTAAAGAACAATTTATATTACAAAAAAAGATATAGATACAAATGGTCACAATATCTTTTGGTAAATGTATATATCTTGGAAAACATCGCTGCCGTCGGACTCGGTTTTGTTGTACAATGGAAAACTATGTCCACTTAACAAATGTCGGTTGGATCGGATTTGGGGAATGGTTGCTGTTATCAAATCTCCTTGGAATTTCTAGACTTTGGGGAAAATTTTGAAGATAACGATTCGTTGAGGGTTTGTTATCATATTGTTACTTGTCCTTCACATCTACTATGCATATTATATTTTTTAGTCTGTCGCCTGCAAATTATTCACGTAATCGAATTTCGAAACGTTTGCAACGAAATAATTATTGTTCTATCGCTGCACCTATGCACAGATTAATAACAAAAAAAATGTATTTTATGTCACCTTTTAAAACTGGATTAAAACCTCGGATTAAGTTTTTTAAATCGATCGCGTTACGCAAAACCCGAATTTCTTCCTAGATTTCTTCTTTGATTGCCAAAAAGATGTTCTTGTCGATATAATTCCTTAATTAGAACACAAATTTTAAAAATTCCGCAACTTTCGGAAAAGACAATTCCCGATTAAAGCGGTTTTTAAACACCCCAAGATCAAAACGCGAATCCCCTCAATCCAAATCGAGAGTCCTCCTAGAGTCTCTGAAAAACGAATTCCCGTTCGGTTTTGATAATTAAACTCGCCCAAAATGAAGAAGCGTTAACCAAGGCAACCATTAATTAATTTTCATTGGTTAAGGCTCTTTTTCAACCAATCCCAGTTCTTTTTCAAAGTCACACAATTTAAAAAACCGTACACTCAGACCCTTTCGTGTGTAATTGTTGTATGGATTCAACGTAAGAAATGTAATGAAACGGATGTACTGTCCCTACGCCCGGTTATTTTGACGCCAGAATCTATTACGATAAAAGTTTATTTAAAACTAGCTGCGTAGAAATGGCACACATTTCGTATTCCAATCATCCAAATAAATTCTTTACATCACCATGACCAAAATTTGTGACGGAATACACTTTAAAACCTTGAATTTAAAATTCTAATTTACGTATTTCTGCGGGCAAAATTCAAAAATTGAAATTCAAAATAAAGGCTACCGTCACAAAACCAAATTTGGTGGGAGGAAACTTCATGACAGCCTCCCAATATATCGCCTAAACCTTAAAACCAATAATTTTAAACAAAAATGATCCTTTGCCACACACGTCCTAAATTTTACTTTTCGATAGACAACTTAGAGATCCTCCGATTAATCAATAAAGCCTCCATTTTTTATTTTTTTTTAATGAGAGATCCTCATTTAAAAGAAGTCCTTAATTCTCCCTGAAAGAAAACTTAATTCTTAATAAGAACTTCCTTTTCCTGGATTAACTCCCTTGCTTTAAGAACTTGAAAGTTCCAGCCCGTTTTTCTCATTTAATTTTAAGTAAATTTGTCTTTATCCATTGGCGACTGTAATTAAAAGCCACACATGTCAAGAATATCCCATTCGGTCAAACATATCCGCAAATGCGTCAGCGAAGTCTGTACAGCAAAATAACAAGAGAAAACTTCATCTAACTTATACAGTCCCAAAATGCTAAAAAAAATGGCCGAGGAACCGCAATGGCGTGTATTCTTCTACAAGTAATGATCGATTCTCATCTTTGTACAAAGAAGAGCGTGCGGCGAAAGAAATTAAAGAAAACTCTGCACGGCGTCTGTCGGCAAAACAAAGAACATCGTAAAAAAACCTACGTTGAATTTAAGTATGAACGAAAGTAAGAATACTAAATTTGAATTACGACAAAAAGAACGTAACAAATGTAAGGTAGTCGGGAGTTGAAAGCTTGAAGGGTGGTTTGAGAACGGAGATGGTGTTAGGTGAACGTTTTTTGGTACAAAGGTTGGTTATCCAGTTGATCGGGTATTTATTGACTCTGGAAATTTATATGAAAGTGGAATAATTGGACGGGTTGGGGAGGAGGTTTACAACTCTGTGAAATTACAATCTGAAGGAAGATAACTTATGTGTTGGGGAATGAAAGGAACCGAATGGATAACACGTGCAATAGTGGTGGGTTTTCTATAGACGCTAAATTCCATGATTGAGTTGGAGAGTGCTAAGTGTAGGAAATTAAGGGCTTTATTAACAATTAAATCGAATGATCTTATTAACCGAGTTGGTAATATCTATATAGTACAGTGGGGTATTATTGAAGAAAACGATTGGTCTGGTAGGAATACCTCGTTAATGTGTTTTGCGTAGAGACCGACAAACTGGAGAGAATCAACGAACGGGTCTCATATCGATCGTTTCTTTTTCTTTGTGCGTAAAATTTGAAACTGAGACTCTAATAGGAGGAATTTTGTGTAAAATTACATAGATATACACTGATGTATATTTTGATTTTTTTAAGTGTCATATTTGTTGAAGTTATTCGATCCGATTTATCTGTAGTGCACACCTTAAGCAACAAATAAGATAAAATTCCAGGAAAAAATTCAGAACTGTATAAACTCTGGCACCGAATAGAAGGTATATTAAAGAAATGATATAAAATAATTAAATTAAATAATTAAGTCCACCAATTGTACCTTGTAGTTACTCATGCTTTGACTTTCGTTGACTTTCATTTTTTTGAAGGCTAACTGCGTGCTTTTTCTGTAACTAAACTTTCCGGAGCCTAAGACTTCCTACAGCTATTAAAAAACAAAGCTCTATTGCATTGAAATACGTAGAAAAAAACCATTATTAATTTCCTCCACGTCCTCCTCGTTCTTTATAGTTCCATTTGTACAAATTATCGAAAAAATTAATCCTCTAATTTTGATAACTTTCTTAAATTTCCGGTCATGATCAGAAGCCAATATTTGGGCTGCTTTTTTTCAATTTAGGGGAAAGGTAGTAGTCGTATGGTGCTAAACGCGAACTATAATAGGAGGGATGTCTTAATTCATGGAAATCACATTCATCGATAACTTTTTGAACTTTTGAGTCTTATAAACCCTGCAATTGTCTGTGGAGTCTTACTGCGTTGTAATTAACCGGAGAAAGTAAAAAATGTATTGCTTTCCTTCAGCCTCAAAATGGGTAACGTTGGCTCCATTTAACCGAAGTCCTATTTTTTGTAATAAAACCTAACATAATTTTTGTAGGTTGTGCCCAGAAAAAGAAAGTCTTTCGAATTATTTAATAAGAATTTATTTGAAAAAAAAGTTCGATGCCGTCGTGGCGCCCCAAATTTTTTTCAAAAATCCGGCCCGTTATTTTTCGTTTCCGTATTCCTGATATACACTTACAAAAGTTGAACAAAATCCGCCGAGCCGTTATCTCGGAGAATTGCCAAAAAAGATTCTCTTTGATCCCAATCTACAATTGCCAACGTACCTACATACATACAGACGGAAAAAATTTCATTCTTTAAAAGTTGCTTAAAATGATCTAAAACGTCGAGATTTGATGAAATTTTTACATGTCCAAAGAATGGCGATCGCAATTACTATAGCCACCTAGCTCAAGGATGTGTAAAATTTTGTCCATTTAACCTCTTCATTATTTTGTAGAAAAACTACCCTTACAGTCCCACTCGATCCACCCTGTATAATGTTTTTTTAACGTCTCTATATTTTAAAAATGACGGGATATCTTTGTGGAGTGCGACAGGGGCCTGTTTGGGAACAAGTGCTATAGTTATACTTCAAGGTGAACGCAAACATAAACTAATTCAACGAAAATTATGGTAATCAACGCAGTTGAATTCAGTTTAGTAGGAAATTGCATTATTAAATATGATTTCGTTCGTCAATTTGCTCTTTTAGAATATGTATTTTAAACACGCAAAATAAGCAACTGCAAATAAGAAAATCAAATTCATCACCTATAAAAATCTGTGTTTAAACGTATCTTTATTTTTTAACGTATTATTGTTATGTTACAGGTAAACCATAACTAATGGAATGAATGCAAGCAAGGTTGTCCGTGCTGATATTATGATAGGACACGAGGGTGTGACTCAGCGGGGTTCGGCACGTACGTAAACAATCCCTGAACAACAATGTCAAAAGAACAACAATGAAGATCAACTGTAATTCATAGAATTAAAGCTTGCAGCGCAACATTTCTATTCATTTTGTTTTCTTAATAAAGTTGAATTTTACTGTTTCCTAACTTATTTTTACTGATTGAATTATAATCCCGATATGCAATTTTACCTATACCTTTTGGAACACATCTCTGAAACAGTTACAGCTACATGGTAAGGAAATGTGGTAATAGGCCTGCATAATAAAAAAATATTCTAAAACTTGACGCAGTGTAAATTCCAAAAACCTTCATTTGTAAAAGTGTAAGTGTCGCTGTCCAGGAATCAGAGAAAAGAGAAATTGCTTCCTTAAAATTCGAACAGTGTGAATATAGAAGACCTATACATATACTAGCGTAAAAATCACCAAATCTGTTCGAAGAAATCTGAAACTTTCGTATACCTACCTACCTACCTATATGATCCGATTGTAAAGTTTTTTTTGCCAACATTGAGGTATTTCTTATAGATTTGCAATGACATGGATGAAATGGAAAGATTCTTAACCCCTTTCAGTGAAATCACATTTAGATATGAAAAATTTTCATCAGCTCGCAAATAAGCATTGCATTTAAAAACAAAAGTAGAAATTCAATCGTTTCTGTAAAAGGCATATTTGGTTAAAATTTCAGAAAAGTGATCTACAAATAAAGGCCCAATTAATTTCTTGGCTCGTGAGTTCAATTTGCTTTTATATAGGTATCAGACTTAGAAAGCATTCTCTCCAGAAACTTCTGACGAAGTAAGAAATAATTTTAATGGGTATTTGAGTCTGCGGCTGCGGCTGTACAATCTACATCTACAATACGTAGGGACGGACGGTGGAACCGACAGACGAAAGGCCGGAAAAAGTGGCCAAAACCGCGCATTTTTGTATTTTTGTGGAAATTTGCACACACTAGAAAATAAACAATATGAAAGATAAATTATTTATTTAAACACATTAATGTTTAAATAAACTTTGTAGTATATCTTGAAGATAAGAACAAATTCTAGAGACAAAAAATAAAACTAAAATAACAATTTTGGAAGAAAAAATTCTCGAGAAATTTAAGAAAATTTGAAAGAAACAGAGGCTTCAAGAAATTCGCAAAATATAGGAAAGGAATTTTTAAAGGATAAAAAAAAAGTTGAAGGAAGTTACATTTATTTCTCATAAAAATGTTAAGTCAATGTAAGGAACATTGGGAAAATTACATGAAATTCTGAAAACTTTTGACAAACTGAGTAAAGACTTTGAGAGGAATTCTTAGGAAATGCGGAAAACTTTTTTAAACGTAAATTTTTAAGGAAATGCAACGGAGCTTATACGGTAACGCAAAAAGTTTTAGTGTAATTAGATGAGAGATTAGTGAGAAATGCGCAAATTCCAGAGAACTTTCGATAAATTAAATGAATCTGCGATACACAAAAGGTACCCCAATGAAAATTTGCACTATACGACAAAGAATTATCGCCTAATGCTGGAGAACATCTCCTGAGGTCTTGAGAAATGTAAGATCTGGGTTTGAATTAAATTGTATTATTGTGTGGAGCTTAGTGGAGGTAATTTTATACTTACACCCGTTACTTTAAATATTTTATCTTTTATTTGAAACTTTAGTGCAACATTTCTCGACAATCGAACGATTGATCTGCTTTAAAAAATAAAAACGGTTGTGAAAATCCCTTCCAAATTGTAGTTCATTTGACCCCTGGTCTTTATTTAACAAGTTTGGGGGAGGGGTGCCATCCCTAGCGCAGTGATCAACGCAAGATACTAAATATTAAAACATAATTTAAAAAAATAAGGACATTATAGAGGAAATAAAGGACATTTTGGTCCAGGCTATAGATGTTTTAACTAAAACAGTTGAGCATAAGATAACAAAAGAGAATATTTTAGCAAACATTAAAGAGAAGCAAGAAGACAGATTTCGAACAAATCTTTATTAACATCCAATACGTTGATTTATCATGTCAAAAACCGTGTATATCTTGTTTTTCCAGTTTTTAGCGAATTTCTCGAATTTTTGCTATAGGAATATTTTTTAATTTTTGATTATTAAAATGTAAGTCCTTAGGAAAATTTTGCTAGCCCGCGCACCTCAGTACCATGAAATAGATTTTTCATCATGAAAAAGTTTTTTCAGAAATCATGAGATCTTGGAAAAGGTTCAACTTTACGGGTCCAACAAATTATCTCCTTTTTTATCATAAACCAAGCTATGTTTCCTTTAAATTTCCAACTCGTTTGCAAAAATAAGAATAAAAAACGAAAAAAAGTTTTTCCGGTTTTTCTAGGAAAATTGGAGGTCATGTGAAAATAGTGCAGATACAAAAGTTGCTCATTTTTTAATCTCTATAATTTTTACATTGAACATTGAACGTCTAAAATTAATAGTTTTGCCACAATTTGCAAAACACCACTTTCCACCCCTTTCAACCCCCGGGATTTCACTCGCGGAAAAATTCAGCTGTTTTAATTATTTTTCCCCAATTTCTAATCATTTCACCTGTCTAAAAAAACGGTTTCGACCGGTAACTAATTTTTATTGATAATAAATTATTTTAGAGCCTGGACTATTTTGGGGATGAAGAAATTTGAGGTAAACGGTGAGGAAATAAGTGAAGATTTTGAATAACTCCAAGGAAATTCCGGAGGATGCTTTGGAAAATAAAAGTTTTGTTGTTAAAGTACATTACATAATATACAATGCATCCAAGATAAGTATACGTATGTCTATCACGGGGAACTCGAGAATCACTGAAGGTACGAAGCTTAGGGAGAAGTTGCGCAATTGAAGCGTTTGATTATCATGTTGTAAAGACAACTAGAACATTCGGATTACTTTTCTGAAGGTACGCCAGAAAAACCGATATTTGCCGTTTATTTAATGGTTTTGTTCGTCTGTCCGTCCATCTCTTCCTCGTCTAACTCAAAAATGAAAAGAGGCCGCGATGTCAAACATTCGCCAATCCATTTCTACGATTTTAAGGGACAGTACTATTGAATATGAGCCGGATGAAAATTCGTGTTTCGGAATGCGAGCCCAGTGGCAAAAAATTCCACTACTGAAAATCATATGCGATTCTTCGCATCTTATTGAATTATTTTTCTGATGTTATTTGAAGAGATACAAAAAATAATAAAAACATTTTACCATTGCCACTTTGGAGCTTTACAAAGAGCCTTGAGAGATTTTGAATACAGCGTTTCGTTTTGGAGAAATCATCAACTTTATTTTTTCATATGGCCCATAAAACAATCCATACTAATGTATTGTGTAGCATTTTTACGACACACAAACAAAAAACAAGTTGGAAACTTTCCAAGAAATTTCTTCTATGGTTTGCAAGATCCCTATATGAAGATATCCTTCGTTATCTTGGGCACAGTGTATTAATACCAATTGGAGTAGGTATTCAAATAAGTCTAAAACATTAATTTTAAATTAATACATTTTGCGAGATGAAATTTTCGAGAAATAGAAGGAAATGAAATAATGTACGTACATGCAAGTGGTGAACCCGCCACATTCGCGCTTCAGCTTCAGAGTACTTTTCAGTTTTGACGCGTGGTATTCTACATGTGCAAACTAAAATATGGCTAGACCTCTATCGACATATATTCAGTGAACAATTTTTAAACGCTTGATCAAGCCGAATTACTTTTTAAACAAATGGATTCGGTAATATTACAAGTACCAAACCAGCATGCTTCTATCGAGTACCTACCGAGATCTGAAGCCCTCACGTGAATAGAGTTTCTTGAGTATTTCTCACTCATAGAAAATGCGCCAAAAATTGGGTGGTAAAAGGAGCAAATGTTTCTTTCAAAACGTTTCGTTTGGTACCTACTATATCTCCAAAAGGATGTCAATCATTCATTATACAAAGGCCGAAGATAGTAAATGTCGTTTAAATTATAATTTGTTTGTACTCTCATTTGAAGTTGCACCATCTTGTGGTAGGTGTTTCAAAAATGGTACCATTTAGGCATAGATTTAGCTTAGATTTATCATTTACTGCAAATCAAAACCGAAACTTATAAAAACGTATTCTTTAAATAACCGCTTAACTTGTCTACAAATTTCAAAATATCTGTTATTTGGATTCCCATATAGTAATGATCTAAAGTGGCACATGCTGTACAATATTTTCCAGCTCATTTCAAAAAATTAGAAAAATGAGCTCTTAATATAGTCACGTCTCATTTCCGTTCCGTCGCACCGTCTAAATTACGATAAAAAATATCGTTGCCGTTAATTTAAACAGACATATTCAAATACCCTCGGCCCCGTCACCGACTTTACCATCAGTTTCGTTTCAGTCTCCGTTCAGTCACAATTTAAATTCGTCAGCGACAATTTCTAGTTTTGACTAACTTGTTTTTAAAAAACTTTGAAGTATTTCATAAGTTTTCTAAATATTGAATCATTTTTTAGCGCATTTTCCAACGAAGTTTGGTGCGCTATTGCAGCCACTTTCTCTGTCCGTCTGTCCGTCCGAGGCCTTAACTCCTCCTATAGTTTTCAAGATATTCAGTTCGTTCTTTTTGCATTCAAGCTGAGCCAAGGAAAATCTTGACAATTAAACTACGCATGCACAGACTGCGCAATGTCAACTTCCTTATTAATTTATTTATTTATTAATTTATTAATATATTTTGTTGAAATTTTAACCACAGATATTTATGGTGAAGGCAAATATATCGCATATAGTAAAAATCAGATGTGCGCATGCGCAGACTGCGCAATGGCAACTTTCTTATTTATGGAAATTTTAACCAAAGTTGTTTTTAGTGTAAACAAACGTATCGCATATTGTAAACATTAGATTAATGCGCGCATGCACAGGATGCGCAATATCAACTGTTATTTATCGAGATATCTTTTTGAAATCACAGATGCTTCTGTTAAAGGCAAACATAACTGATATTGCAAAAATTAGATGTGCGCATGCGCAGTCAGTGCCAACTTCTTTATTTATGAAGATATTTCTTTGAAATTTTAACCATAGATGCTTCTAGTAAAGAAAAACATATCACATGTAGTAAAAATCGAAAACTACAAATGCCATTAGGAAAAAAAAAGAATTTTTGTAC